CTGATTTAGTTGCCAATACACTTCACTGAGCATGGGCGCATACTCACTGGATCTCACTGGCGCGGAAGGCGCAGCCACATCCCAACAAGAGCTCAAGCCACAGAAAACGATGTGCCTTGCAACCTTTTGCATCAGCTTGCAAGACTTGCGAGTTGCGAGTGTCCAACTCAGGCTTATGAGCAAGGCCTCCCAGATCCTCCTAGTCTAACCCGTTCTGTTCCACCCGAGTTGAGGGTCTGGAGCGCTTAATTCATGCATGCTGTGCGTGAGTGTCCCCAGCGAATGGGGGCACTCCACCTTCTCATTTGCCAGCCTATCGGCGCAGCCCAATAGCTGCGAAACATCTCTGTGACAGCTTGCATGGGCTCGACATGCAAGCTGGGTGAAGGAACACATACCAGACTTACCAGAACCGGAAAGCATTATGGCCCTACTAGCAGCCCCAAGCAGCTTGAGCCAAGCATGTGATGCTCGCTCGTGCATATGCCATCATTTCAGGGAGGTTGCATGCAGCTGTCCGAAGCGATGCAACGCATTCTTATTGGCACGCGGGATTGCCGTGCGCTGTCGGACTTGCAAAACCGGCAGATGCTCTGATCCGAAGGTTCAACCCAACTCTGCTACAATGTGCAGAGCCAGACTGATCCTGGCAGGCTCGCATGTGTAGAACTTGCAAGCTTGCTGAAGTGAATTCCATTGCCCGTATGTCCTCTGCGCACAAACGACAAAAAGACAATTTTCAACACAGAACTAGTCGCATCAGCTTGGCAGGCAGACGGGCCACACAAAATTGTGCACAAATCTTCAACGCTGAATTACTATCCATAAAACGAGCCGAGCGTACAGACCCTCAGAGCAGCAAAGGCAAATCCACGACTGGGACGGCCATGCTTGATTCTTCACGCTTACGGGCTGCGCTGCATGATCGTCTCAATGACATCGTCGCTCAAAGAACCGCCTTTCTCGGCGATGACCTTCCGGTTCAGCTCACGGTCCTTGAATCCCATATCTTCCAAGGTCTTCAACATGTCCTCCATGCTTTGTGGAAAGCTCTCTCCTGGAAAGCGGACCACGTTTGTGGTGTTTGGGCTCCGCGTGTCAGTGGAGAAGTATCCACCTGCAACATTGTTCAAGGCATCTGTCACACCACCAATGAAATTCTCCCACTGCGTTTTGGGCAGGGACTGCTCCTCAACTCCGTTGAGAGCACAGCTTTTCAAATGCTCGTAGAAGGTGCTCCAATCCATCCGCGCTCCCGAGTCCTTCTGCGCATCCCGACCTGTGAGATCTCTGAAAACACTGGCTGCAGTTTCCACTGAGTACTTGTTCCCCTGTGGAAATGTGTTCATCAAGTCTGTGACAGCAAGCAAGTTATCCCTGTCAGCATCTGCATCCTGAAAAATCTTGAAGATTTTGGGCTCAAACTCTGGCTGACTCAAATCGATGCAGGCCGCCACAAATTCTGTCCAATTGATGGCATCCTTGTCTTGGCTCAAATTCATGGCTGCAGCTGCTCGTGTTGCTTCCGCCTCATCAATCCCATGCTTCATCAGGATGGACTTTAATCCCTCTGTTGGCAAAGCACCATTTCCATGGACGTCGAATTCATTGAACAACTGCTTGAAGGTTGGCATCTGGTTGGGAGGCCAATCCTGTGCAATTTTCATGGCCATGTTTTTGTAGAGAATGGATCTGCAGTGAACAGAAGCCAGACGTTTGATAAGCCTTTGGCGACTGGTCTCATTCAAGCTGCCTGTCTGCTTCGTTTCACATGCGTTCTTGAGAAACACGCTTGCCAGACACTGAGAAGCTGATGGCCGACGCTGTCGCTCCTGCTGCAGCATCCGCTCCAGCAGCTCTTTGACGTCCTTCGGGGCGCCAGAGACATACTGCCATGCAGGTCGCGGCTTCTGGCGCCAAAACTTCACGACATCATCAAAGTTGCCCTCAAATTTAACTCTGAAGGGCATCTCTCCACAAAGAAGCTCAAAGAAAACGCAGCCGCAGCTGAAAACATCCGCCTCGGGCGTGATTTCACCCCACCAAACCTCGGGGGCCATTGTCATGGGTGTGCCCATCGGACGATTACCTCGGTAGTCGCCAGGCTTGAAATGCATGGCAATTCCGAGGTCGATGACGACGACATGTGGCTTGGAATTGAACGTGGTTCCGTTTGGGTCTTTGGCGTTGCCCTTCCCGAAGAATGCAGCAGTCTTCTCACTGGGCATCAGCATGATGTTCTGTGACTTGACGTCCAAGTGAATGATCCCTCGGACATGGATGTGACAAATGGCCTGCATCAGTTGTTGCATAGCCTCAGCAATCCATTTCATGGGTATCTCCTGGCGAGTCTTCCTTGCTGCCACGATGTGGCCATGAAGCTCGCCACCTCGGCAAAAGTCCGTCACAAGGTACACGTCATCCTTTGTGCTATAGACTTCATACAATTTGAGAATGTGGGGGTGGTCAAGGTTTGTCAAGTTCTCGATTTCCTTCTTCATCGCCTGCATATCGCCGTGCAACTTCTCTTTGGAGATCTCCTTGATGGCCCGGACCTGTTTCGAGTGCTTGTCGCTGGCTAGGTACACGAAACCATAGGTGCCGTGCCCAAGCTCTTTGCCTTTGGCATACTTTTGCCAAGGGTCTCCCTCCTTGAAGGACTCAATAGAAAATCGGGGAACTGCCTGCACTGAGATTTCTTGCTGCAACTGCAGGAGCTCCCAGAAGACCTTCTTGAACTCATCCAGAACCAGACCTGCCTCACTTCGAGCCGACTGCATAAGGTGGACCTGCGAACCCACTAGCCCCAGCAGTCCGTCCAGGTAGGCTCCCAAGTGTGGCACCTGGTCAGCTGGGATTGGGCGATCCTTTGCCCGCGCCGCGCTCACGAATATCTGCTCAGCCACGGGCTCCACTTGGTGCATGATGCCTTGCGCAGCTGCCACCTGCTGCGGGTTAGGGATTGTTCTGGATCTGATCTTCCGACGCTGGTCAGCGCGACTGATGAATGTGTTGGGCTTGACGTTCAGGCAAACTCCACCCGACTCCTTGTCCACATCGGTGATGATGGCTGGCATCCAGCATTGATTGTGATCACTCCAGTAGTCCAGTTGCTGACCTTGCACGAGCTGTGACGGATCAATCGGACGAGGCACGGGACGTGGCACTGCAGCTGCTTCTGATGGGAACGGTGGCAGCTGATAAGCGAAGGCGGCTTGCCCTGGAGATGCACTGCGCCGAGGAGGTGCAGAAGCCTGACCCTGAAGCCCGTACAGCCTCCGCATGTCCGGCGCTGGGGTGGCCGGCCGGCTGGGGCCTCCCTGAGGATAGCCCGCCACAGGGCTCGGCATGTGCAAGTGCTGCATTTTGTCAGCAAGATCTCCTCTACCAGCGGGAAGGCTTTTGCCTATGCCACCTGCCTGCAAATAGCTTGAGTGGATCGCACGCGCAAAGTGCAAGAGTTCAGGCCATGCAAAAGGAGACGTGTGCTGCGTATGGGATGAGTGACTGCTACGCAAGAATATCTTGTTTTCGAGCTTCCTGCACAAGGTCCGGGTCAGACGGCGTTTGGTCATGAGCCTTGTTTGGCCATGTGTAAACAAAGCAGATGGGCAGGCGATTGGATTCAGGATGCTTCAGGCTGAGTGGTTGATGCTCAATCTTTGCCACGCTGACTTTGCAAAGCAAACGGTAGGGTTTCCAAGTTGCAGCTGAGCTTCTTGAACCACGGACTGCGACGCACTAGCGCTGTCGCTGCTTTTTCTCTGGTGTTTTGATTCCTCAGAACTTCCCAGATTGCATCGTAAGCATCAGTCAACAGACTCTTCATCGACAAGCCGAAGTATGTAGTCGCACAACAGCAGCCATAAATCTCCCCGAACGCTGAGGAACTCATTTGAGCTATACTACCTGTGGTGTGCGTTGGCTCGCTCCGCATCTGTGCTGACCCGTCCCAGATGGTTCGTCCTTTTGGGTTTGAGATGGTTGTAATTATATTTGCGTTTGCAGCGTGTTCCCAATTCATTCTACAGGCGTGTGCTGGAATTTCTGGAAACTGGAGTGGGTCTCTGCAGCGGCATATGTCGCTTACAACCGCATACCAAAGAGATTCTGTGAATCAAAGTGATACAAAAAAGATCATGGGATAAGCTCCTCTCAGAGCTGACTCCGGGCGGTTTCCTGCCAGGTCTGTTTGGCACTTCTCTATCAACTTCCTGCTGGGTGAAGGCATCCCCCCGCGGTCTCGGCCGGTCGGAACACATTCGCGCATCACTCGACAGGGCCGCGGCACATTCCAAGAGAATCATGCAAAGATATGCAAAGCTTTTAACTGTATCTGCAGTTTCGGAGCATGCAGTCTTGAGGCAACCTGAAGCGATCCCACGTTTCACTTGCATGCAGCCCGCAGTCGAAAAAACCATGCGAGCCAATGAGGAGTACTGTTGTTCGCGAACTGTCTGCTGACTATAACCCCCCCAGCTGCGCCAGCTGAATCCCCAAACCGTTGAACCTAGAAAAACAGAAAGCAGGATTCAAGTTCCCCGTGTCCATGCTTCACTTCTGATCCTGCAATCTATTGCAGCTTCAAGCGCCAAACGCGTTTGGCGCAGAAGCTCGGGTAGATCCAAGCGATTTGCAGTGCAGCGTGTGAATCCACATATGCAATCTTACTTTCATATGTTTTTGTTGGTTTGCTTAGGTTGCTGGAGTCGAAGTAATGGACTTCACCATGTCCGAATCTTGGAAAGCATGCGACATCCATCGATGTTTCCAGATTTGGCATGCCGAGCTTCATAATTCGGTGCCTGGAAAGACGAGTGGATTAGATGATGGGCATGTGCTGCGGTGCCTGTTGGACAACTACCTATCTGAACATACCCATGATCGCAAGACTAAAGATTTTTGGGGCCTGTTACTGCCACTTCAAGGCGTGAATGACTGATGATGCAGCAGAGGCTGCATGATTCTTGCGCACTTGCGCCGGTAGGGCTTGTCGTGAATTAAAAAGAGAATCTCTGCCCTGAGGATGCTCTCGGACGAAGATCGAACGATGCAAAACGTAAGCTTGAGCTGCATTCGGAGTTCACGTAAAAATTGTAGCGTCCAAACAGATGGTAGTTGTGCAAGCCCAGCAACCGTTTACGCTTGCCCTTGTTGCGGACTTCCTTTCTCTTGCACCTGCTGGAGTCTGATCGGAACTTTGCCTCGAAAACAATTACACGTCTTGGTGTCCTACAGACAGAAAATGCAACAGCCAGCCACTGAGACGCGCACCTTCAATTCGTCAGAGAGTTTCTGCCAGCCGGCTCGTCCAGAGCCACCACAGGCCAAGAAGAGCCTATATGGCCCCAACCTTCGTTTAGTTGCCTGCACATTAGTGCACCACTCCATCAGCACAATTTCAGCGAACTTCAGCGAACGATGCCTTCTGTGAAAAGGCAGGCGGCTCTGCTCCTCCGCTGCGGGGTGGCAGAACTGCCGTGGCCGGAACTTGCAGACAACCTCGGCCGGGGACGGTGCTTGTTAACAAACACCTGGATGCAATGAGTTGCTACTTATGCCGCTGCCTATGTGGCACCAATCGACTTCAAAGTTTTTCCAAATGCGTCAGGTGCTCACTCGCCTTTTCTGTCACTGGTGACCTCCACTGTAAATCTAGCATTTGACTGTACTGTATAATTGTGGGAAAATGTAGGAAGCAATAGGAACGTACAGCAGACTTCCAGCAAGCCCCACCCAAAGCCTCTGCGCCAGTACAGAATTTGCTTTCTTCTGGGACGTCCGGCTCTGCAGAACCGTTCGAAGTCTTCACAGTCCTCCGGCCCCTGATAGCAACCACCACCTCCGCCAAGCTTGCACTCAGCATGGCTGAGGCCCGCAATAGCATGCATGTTGTTTTCAAAAACTGCCGCAGCCTGCCTCATCGTGCACTGATACAACTTCACCTTTGACCCACTTCCCCTTCTGCTCACTCCAGACACGGCATTCTTCGCCTGGCGCAAGTCCGGTACCCTGCCAACCTGCAATCTCCTCAGCAGAGCAGGCGCTGGGCAGCCAGGGCTTGCAGTCAATAGATGAAAGGGTGCACTGTTCGTTCAGGGTTCGCCACGCCCGCCCCTGGCGCCCAGGAGGTTTCCGCTGCAATGGCTTTGGCCTTTACTCAGGCTGTCCAGCCACATGTCAAATGCTGGGCTACGGAACTCTTTGGCAGGCACACAAACATTATGCAGCCGAAAAATCTCCATGTTGCGCGTAGGCCAGCTTCAGCCCACACTCCGTACTGGCCATTGTCACAACTCAGCGACCAAGCCACTGCACCGATGCTGGGCTGAATGTGAAATGAACCTAGAAAAGTTGCAGGGTGTTGCCCGAGAGCCGCCAGGTGCCGGGTCCCAGAACCAATCCGCTTTGACTGCAACTTTTGATGGTGCAGTTAGAGATGTCGGCCTCGCACGAAACCCTCCAAATAAGGCATCGTCATGTGACAGGCAGATCGCAGCTGGAAGAGGTGCGCGCCTCACCATGTCTCAAAAGTAGCCCATCGCCCGCCTGAGCACTTGGGATTTTGAGGCGTCAATATACCAGTTTAGAGAAAGCCGGCTGCCAATCCAAGTTGCGCAATCACGTATAGTGCAAGCGTCCAAGAGCAGGTATGCGAAACCTCTGCCCTGCAGACCCGTTTCTGAAGAGGCCTGTTGGGAGATGCAGGAAACATGCCAGAACTAACGATGCATGACAAAGCAAAAAAACAACTTACACAACTGACAACTGAGCTGTCTGAAACAGAACGAGCTTCAAAGATGTTTGTCCTGATGATCTTGGCTGATGCACCTCGCAAACTGGCTGCTGGATCGACATAACTTCTGAGACTTCTCGAGAATTCCGCCGCCCAGCACCTCTGCTCAGCCTCACTGATCCATTTACCCAGCAGTCATGAAGCTCACATGACGTTCCTTCAGAGACCTTGGCAACAGTCAGAACACACGACTGGATCCCTGCAGGGCAAGCACATCTGCCTCAAGCGCGGGCTGCTGGCCATCGCCGTCAAGCCTGACCCTGCGAAGTGCTAGCACGGGAGGGTCAGATCGACCAGCGGGCTGCAGATCTTTCGGAGCTGTCGCTATGCAGCAACTCAATGTTGGGGGCAGAGGCAACCTTGCAAAGCCACCAAGGCTACACCGAGTATGTATGGCAACTTTCCTGCAAAGATGGAAGAGATGGAAGAGACAAGATACCCAGGGGCTGCTTCAATGGTGAACGGTGGCATCACGACCTTTTGGAGCAACCAAGCAGGTCGCTGGCAAACACAATAGGCATCTCACTCACACATCCTGCCGCCGCTGCAAACAAACCAGAATGCAAGTCAGAGCTCAAAATCCATGATTCTGCCTTCAGAGCGGTGACAGTTTCCATTCGGAGTAGATGCATGCTTTTTTTGGGGCATCTGGCCGACCCATCCAAACCACGAATCTCCCATCTCAGTCCATGCCGACCTCTCTGTGTCCTCCCTCGATGCCACCGCTAGGCACCAGGAGAGCTGTTGCATCGCGCCGCCGTGCTTCAGCTATCTGCTCTGAAAGCGGTTGCCTTGAAACAATGCGCTGGCTGCTCTTGTGATCCCAGTTAACACCAAGGCGAGCGCGCAGAAGCTGCCAAGTACTGCCCCTTCAGAAGACCTATTGGGTGCAAGTCACAACCGAGGAAGAGCTACAGCACAGTACAGTACAGCTTCGAAGGGCCTGCAGGCTTCTGTGAACCCTTCCTTGCGCAAAGATGGCTGGCGCACTTCCTTCGACGCGGCGATGTTCCTAAGCTTGAGCGGCAAGATGCAGCTACCATCTCCTCCGCCTGATGGTTTCTCAACATGTAACATTGTAACATGCTGAAGGGGGGCCGACTTGCGCATTCGCATTTCGTGCACTGTTGGGACTTTCAGAGCTCAAGTGCTTTAAGCGGCGGAGCATGACGGCCGCCGCCTAATGCTGAAAATGCTGCGGGCACATATCATTCAGCTCAAGACCTCACACATCTCACTAGAAATTCATAACCACACGATCTGACAGGCGCCTTTGATTTCACAGATCACTCTGATGTCCACGCGGTTCCAGGTATGCTTTGTTACCCTACTGCAGACAGTCACGAGCGGTGTAATGATACCTGGCTCGAGCATGCTCAAGCCAACTGCTCAAAGCTTCTCGGAGCCAAGTGCTGGACGTCTCCACAGCCCTCGGCCAGCGCATGTAGCCGTCCACGTGTCAGCATGGCCAAGCTCCGGCCATGTAGGGCCGTAAGGGAAAGACAATGCTTTCGATGCCATCCTTGAACACCCTGTCCTCTGCTATCTTGCATCCTCCGCTATGTTGAGGGGAACATCACGGGCTCATCCTGCAGCGTTTCTGGCTCTTCGAGCTCGCGCTGCTCCACACCAGGAAATCAACGACTGCAACAACCTCAGATGCAAAGGAACCCTGGCAGGCAAGCGATTTGACGCCTTCCTTCTCCATGCGCAGTGTTTTGGGGGACCTGTAGCTGCACGATGGCCAAGTTTGTTGCTGTGGATCGTTTTAGCAAATGACCAAAGTTCGCCTCGGCCTCCTGCCGACAGGCGTCTGGAACTACATTTTGCCGCAGCCAGTTTAGCTTCCCATTGCTTTCCGATGAAAGGCATTCATTGCCCTCATGTCTTGCTATGTGCATGTGGGTCTTTCTATGGTTCTGTGGCCCGAAGAGAAACATGCGATGGGCGTTGGTCTTATATACACAGAACAGAAGACATACATCATACATTGACCACTTCCTTCTGCCTTACACCGTCTGAATCCCACAAGCTGTTTTGCACCGCGAAAACCCTGATCCTGAGAGAAACAGGTCCGTGAATGACCACGGGTCATGGTCAGAGCGTGAAACGTGATTTTGGAAGTACTGGAGTGTCTAGCAGGGTCATTGTTTCAGGAGCGGTTGTGCTGTACATTTGTCGGTGATTGTTCGTGGCATCTGGAGCCCCGGCGCACAAGGAGTAGCTGTGAGAAGAGGAAGCAGAGAAAGAGCGAGAGGCCCAACAGGGGCGGGGGCAAGTCCCCGGAGGCGGCCTGGAGCCCTCTTCAATGCCCGAACGAAAGAAAGAAAGACAGAGCTCGCTGTGGCTTGACATGGGCATTGCCCTGTCCCGGCGTAGAGCTCAATCTCAATCTAAGCATGTGGTCCTTGCAGAAAATCAGTTGACTTCAATCGTGCAGCTTCGGTGTCATCCTGTCACTATGCAGAGCAGGAAGTGGACACTCAGTTGCAGCCACGGGCTCAGCGCCTGAATTTGAGGGTGGCGGTCCTGATGACATTAGTACAGACACCGGAAAAGAATTAAATAGCAGAAAAACACGTCTCCAAAAATGATTGTTTCAAGATGCACCCCACCCGAACAGGTCTTCAAACAATGGGCCCCATGGCCCATACCCCAAAATTATGAAAATGCCAAGCGTGATTTGATTCCGCAAGAATGCATTCAACAATGCATCCAAGAATGCGCGCCAGTGGAGATGGCCAGATGTCAAGTTCGTTTATCGTCAAACGTGTCTGTAAAGGAAGGCGCATACAACAACTACACCCATAGCATGATTACAGCCAGGTGCAACACAGTGAGCCTAGATGTTGCGAGGTTTCAAGAAGTCACGAAAGCTAGCCTCCGGGTCTAGCTTGAGTTTCTGATCAAGCGTTAGCTTGCAACAAGGAGTGTGGGGGCTGAGTCCGCCAGGGGGTATGCACCTTTTGAGGGTTCTCTCAGCATCTCTCAGCCAGACAGCAGGGCAGGGAGGGATTCGGGCGTTGCACCGGGGGGTCGTATTCTGACCCTTAAAGGACCCTGAAAGAACATCTAAAGAACACTATAAAAGAACATATAAAGAACACTGTATCCTACCCAAAAAAAACACACAAAGAACATTTAGTTTTTGCTCAGCAAGGTTGCCATTGTGCACCTCCATTGTCTTCTTTCGGCCCATGTTTGTGTTTAAGCATACGTGCATATTGTATCTGCTAGAGTATAGCAGACTCCTCCCAGATCAGTTAATGTAGGTAAAGTCATATGCAAATACTACTGCATACGCATACATTCACAATGCGTGCTATTTGAGTGCCATGCATTTAGGTGTGAATCGCGAGCTTGTGTCCTGTAGCCTTCCTCATTCCCAGTAGGTAGAGGACATTGCGACCGCAGGGGGGGAACATTGAAGGCGCTTGCCCCACTCGCCCCATTTGCCCCACTTGAGTATCTAGCCTCCCTCGCCCCACTTGCCCACTTGCCCAAGTGGGGGGGCCCTCAAGTGGCTTGTCCCACTTGCCCCACTTGCTCCACTTGCCCCACTTGCCCCACTTGCCCCGCTTGACCCACTTGCCCCACTTGCTCTACTGACCCCACTTGACCCACCTGCCCCATGCCCACTTGCTGCTTCTCCCCCCACAATAGTGTGGCAAGTGGGTCAGGGGCAAGTAGGGCAACTGGGGCAGGGGGCTCTCAAGTGGCTTGTCTGGAGCCTCCGGAGCAGGAGTTGAGGGGGCCACATCATGCGGGCCAAGTGGAGCAAGTGGGCCAAGCGGAGCAAGCGGGGCAAGCGGGGCAAGTAGGGCAAGTGGGGCCTTCATCCCCCCCAAAGCCGACACTAGAGTGCGCATCTGGATTCTGCCAGTTAGATCCTGCTCTAGCTTTCGTCCCAGTCCCTTTCCCCCAAGTAGGCGGGAACCCAACGAGGGAACCGACTCATTCTCACGAAGTCCTACTTGAACTGGGGACCGCACTTCTTCAGCATGTTGGAGGCTCAGTGTTAGAAAGCAAAGAGTAAAAAGGATTCATACATAGACCCTGAGCAACAGTACACTTCAGTGGTCTATCCACGGCACTTGTGTATGTGTCCCAAGAAGATGTTGCACAGACCACAATTTCTGGAAGTCCGACGAGGCCACAACATCAGCGATCATCTTTTGGTGTTCACCCCTAAGACAAACCCTACAACCCCTGCTATTTGAAGCCCGGACTTGGAGATTCGAGCGACTAAGTGCGTAACCATAGTTGTGCCCTCCTAGGGTCAAGTAGCCTACTCCCTCCGGTCAGATTCCAGCTGCTTACTGATTAATGACAGCAAGGACCTGCAATCAGAGTTCAGGTATCGGGGAACTCGGATTGGGTTGGAAGTCGCACGTCGATCAGTTGTTGCGATGGGGTTGAAGCAAAGATGGCAGCATGCGTGTCATGGACCAACGCCGACAACTAGCCTCTCTCATTTGTTGAGCGCATTTGCCAAACACATGTCTGTCAATCTGCATGTTTTGGTCTTAAGATTGTTGACGGACGGACCGCAGCTGACGCGCTTTCAAACTAGCATGAACCAGTGGGGTAAGCCGTTGCTCATGTGGCCTCACGGTGCTCCGGGTGTAGTTGTAGAGGGTCAACTTGCGTAGCACGACGCAAATACCACGCGGTGCGTAGCCTCCTCTTGAACGTGGTATTCATGTTGTCTGCACACAGCACGTATGCAAGTTGGTTGCAGTGTGGAAAGCAAGTTTGGCATGAGGTTTTGTGCCATATATGTTCAGCACGTGATGAATGTTCAAAGTCTGAGCACATATTAGCACACATATGCAATGGCAGCCAAGCCCATACTTGCACCCCATTGTGTATGGCCCCCAGTGGTGCCCCGTGAATGCAAGATTTTGGGGGCTGCACGGTGTGGGCGTCACAATTTTGCAGATGAGTGTTCGGTTTTTTTGCGCCATTGGTCCCGATACACGTGCACATGCGCTCTTGGCTTGCCCTGCGCATACTCAAGCACGTACACGCTGGCACCATGGAGCTTCAATGCCTCTCTGTCTCTCCACGCTTTGTTCAGCACGGGTCCAAGTCTAAATCGAGCTCGCGACATCTCGCGTAACATTTCCTTTGTTGACCATGCGTGCAGAGCCGCTGATGCCTGTGTGGCTTCACTTTGCACATGCAGTCACGCCATGCCACGCCCCAAGATTTCAGTGCCTGTGAGGCTGTGTATGACATGGGTGGCGGCGGGACACACAATAAAAATGTGGAATTTCTGAGCGGCCGTAGTGGTGTGCAAACGTGAGATTGCGATATTGCAATTTGATGTTTTGTTTCGTCACTATTTTGCATTCGT